AGATTGCCCCCTCCGAATGGAAATCTTGGATGAACCCCCTCCTGAAGACTGCATAGTCTATCAACTTCTCAGATATTGTGACTAGTGGAAAGGGGGGAAAATGTGATATCTTGAGCTTGCAAAAAAATCCAGAGTAGTGATTGGATATTCCATCTGCTCGGACTTGTTTTGAATGGAGATCAATATATAGTAAAGAACGAGGGCGCTTTTGATTGACATTCGGCAGGAATCTGGGCGCACTTGAAAAGTGAAAACTTTATTGAACTATAAAATTAAATTTTAACATTCTTTTGATGTATTATGTTCCTATGAAATAGGAAAGGAGAATATTTTCCCTATGGTGTGTTTTGATTTCCTTAAAAATAACTTGGAACATGTTTATATGAGTCATTTTGGTACAAATTGTTACATTTTTAAACACGTTTTTCTAAAAATTTGCTATCTCTGGGTCATCTCTCCACGATTTTAAAAAGACATATGTGTGCATTTGTAATCAAAGAAATGAACAAACATTTTAAAACAATGGGGAGAAGACCCAGAGACTATAAAAAATGAACTTTTTCCAAAAAATACCAATGTGTAAATGCATTGCTTCTTTGCCATTTTAAATTCAAGCTTGTTTGTATAGCGATGATAGCTCAGTAGTGTGCGTTACCAGTCCTGCGCACACAGCAGGCGAGAAGTTTTGGTTCGATCCTCACATGGAACAATTTACTTTTTTAAAAAAATTTTTATACAAACAATCAAGTCGTTTATCAGTAAGTTGGATTTTATTTACTCATTTATAAGTCTTAAAAGAGACAGATTTCAGTTGCACGGAGAGCGAAAGCAACTTTTCAAACCTACTGAAACTTTATTTCATATATCATACCCTATTATCTTGTAAGTTGTTAGGTGTTTATTATTTATATGAAATATCAATTGACTGTGTTATCGTAACTATTAAGATAAATGGACTAAAATATTTCAAATTTGAAAGCTATTTCAATGTTAATCTAAACATTTTCCTATGTGCGTAACTTTGTAAAGTCTGTCCACTTCTGGTCAGCCGACCAAATCGTGGACATTTAAACCACAAATGTTTCGTACGCATGATTCCTGCAGATCGCACGCCAAGTACGCCCATCTTCTTTACTGATTATTGTCATGAAGGACTAGATTACTAAGGTGTTAGTAATTATGCTAATAGACCTTTTAGTATTGTTTATTTTTATAAATGTTAATATGAAGATTTTTATGGGAATAATGTAATTTTAGCATTTAGAAGTGAGAGTAGATTATTTGCAATCGTAAAAAAATTAAAAAAATTTAGGGCCATTCAGGAAAATTCTTTCAAAATCTTCTTCTCAAGAACCTTAGGGCCAGAAAAACTGAAATTCATTTGGAAGCTTTCTGGGGTAGTGTAGATTCTATTTTTTCAAATCATGCCCTCCTGGGTAGTGTTGGGCCACAATGAGTATTACAAGGAGGAAATCTGGTGAAGAACAGCAGGGCCAAAGTTACTCAGGTGAGCGTTGTGACCTATGGTCCTCTTGTTTTTTTTTTTGTTTTTTTTTTTAATTTAGTATTTCTAATTTGGGGATAGTGGGATAGATACCTAATGCCAACTTTTTTCAGATTTGTTGAATAAAATATATGGAGATAACGAACAGTATTCAAGCTCAGAAGTCCATTAAACATTATAGGTGCAGAGCAAACATGGACCTCCAAAACATCAGAGGTGGGATCAGGTGCCATGGAGGAGTGAGCATCCCCTGCCGACCGGTCACACCCACCGTGTGCTCCTTGTCATGATCGGGAAATAACGGAAAAATCCGTTGACATTTCAGTGTGTAAGTAATGGCCTAACAATTAGTATATAATTGATATATTACGGTAATGGAAATTTGCCCTTTGCATTTAAAATATGACATAGATTGGAAAGGGGGGGATTCATTTGAAGGCCGGCTACCCCACTTTCCCATTTTTAGCTCTACTGGTCAGAGACTAGAAGGGCTTATGTGATAGTAATGTGTCCATCATCTGTCTGTCCATCTGTCTGTAAACAATTTTTCAAAATGCTACTCCTACAGTTTTGGTCTGATTTCAATATAACTTGGCACATAAGTAGACTATACTAAGATACATAATTCTGGATATTAGTTTTTGATCTCAATGATGGATGTTGCCATGATCATTTAAAATAGAGATTTCTGGGAAATACTTTCAAAATGTTACTCCTCTTTCAGTTTTGGTCTAATATCAGTATAACTTGGCACACTAGAAGACTACACTAAGATACATAATTCTGGGTATCGGTTTTTGATTTCAATGAAGGATGTTGCCATGTTTACTAACAAGAGGCCCATGGGCCACATTGCTCATCTGAGCACATTGGCTAGGAAAAAGCACAAATCAGTTCAGTATTGAAAAGTTAACATGGGGGGGGGAGGACTTGAATTTTAAACTACCTGATGATGCTTACCATATCAATTTAACAAATAGCTTTGCTGTTCTTGAC